ATCCTCAAGAATTCAAGTGTTCTGTTCTCTCTTTATATATAAATTTTCTATTGGTGTCAATAGAGGACTTGAGGGAAAAGTAGACTAATACTTCTTACACAGTTGGAATAAATCTACATTGCTCCATGAAAGTCAAAGCTGCTACACTGAGTTAAACCAGTTTAGGATCTGGGAGAGGGAAACAAAGACAGATGGTATTGATTAATCCAATGTCAGAGAAACCCACGAAAAAGTGGGAAGCAACCGACAGATCTCTTGGTTTCTGAATCTCCCTTCCACTCCAACCACTATGAAAAGTTGCCTCATTTTTTCCTTCAGTAATTAATCCAGAATTAGTCAAACAAATGGAAGGAGGCTACAGAAAGGATTCAGGAGAAAAAACAGCAAGCAAAATCCCAGGGTTCTCTTGATATTTTGGAATATCAGGAGCAATACCCAAAACTGGGGAGGAGGGATAGCTCAGTGGTTTGAGCATTGGCCTACTAAACCCAGGGTTGTGAGTTCAATCCTTACAGAGGCCATTTGGGGCAAAAATTTGTCAGGGGTGGTACTTGGTCCTGCTGTGAAGGCAGGGGACTGAACTCAATGACCTTTTAAGGTCCCTTCCTGTTCCTGTAAAATTATAGAAGTAGACTGTTTAGTGAGATCCTGCAGATACCAATCTTTGCCCTACCCCCTTATTCACATTTTTTACAATGACCTGAAAGAAAACTTAACCCAATCACCAATGAAGTTGGAGGATGAAAAAAAATGGGGGAGGAGGAGGAGGAGTGTGGTGAATAAAGAAGGTCACTGATACATACTGAAAATGATGAAGAGATTAGAAAATATGCCCTATCATGATAAAAAGGAGTTTAATCTGAAGCTATAAGAGGAACAAATATTCAATAACGATCTTTTCAATCTATCAATGAAAGTTGTAACATGAGCTAATGGTTGGAAGATGAAGCTACAGAAATTTCCAGTTGGAAATAAAGAATACATTTTTAACTGTGATTGTAATTAACTGGAACAACACACCAAGGCTGTGTCTACATTGGCAAGATTTAGCTCAAAAGTGGCCGCTTTTGAGCAAAATCTTGCCGCCTGTCTAGACTGGCCGCGAGTATTTGTGCAAGAACACTGACTTTGTACTGAACAAAATCAGTGGTTCTTGAGCGAATACTCCGATGCTCCTGCTCAGGGATAAGCACTCTTGCACAAGTATTCTTGCGCAAGAGGGCCAATGTAGACAGACAGGTTAATTTCTTGCGCAAGAAAGCCCTATGGCTAAAATGACCATCGGAGCTTTCTTGCGCAAGAGAGCATCTACACTGGCACAGATGCTTTTGCGCAAAAGCAAATATTTTGCGCAAAGGCACATGCCGTATAGACGCTCTCTTGTGCAAATACTTTTAATGGAAAAACTTTTCCGTTAAAAGTATTTGCGCAAAATCATGCCAGTCTAGATGCAGCTCAAGGATTGTGGTGGATTTTCTACAATTGACAATTGTTAAATCAAGATCGGATTTTTTTTCTAACAGATATGCTTTAGGAATTATTGTGTAAAGATCTATGGTCTATATTGTATAGACTATGGTCTATATTAATATTCAATGGTCTATACAATAGACCTCCTGGCTCTGGAATCTATGAAAAAAAATATGCACTAAAGAAGTTTAGAAGAAAAAAATATGCACTAAAGAAAAAACTACTTAGCATTTTTTAGAACTGTAGATGGTTGAAATTAAATGTGAGGTAGTGGCTTATGCAAAGTCCTATATGTTGTGCAAGTTTTTAATGAAAGGCTAAAGTGGCCCACAAAGTTTTGTGCAAACTTTCTCATTCTCTGAAATTAATCTGACAGTGTGACAATGTCAACAATGCCATGGGGTTTGCTGTTCCTTGACAAGTTTGTCACATGCTAACACAAACATGCATGGATTTGTTCTGAAATGCAGCATCAATATTGTAAAAATGCACATATAGTGGAACAGGTTATTCGCCTATGTTTATCCAGGAACATTGACTTCCTTATCATGTCACTCAGACCTAACTGAAAACAAACTTATTCTAATAAGAACAAAAAGCTGAAATATTGATATTTCCCATACAAATGAAGTCTACAAAAGTATTAATTTTGGACCATTGAAACATTTTGTTTCAAAAGTCCAAAATCTATACTTTTGTTCCAATAGTGTCAACACATTTCATTTTCACCTGCATTAAAATACTAATGGCATATACATGCTCTCTATTAATTTTAATATTAAATAACATGAATCAAAAGTGATAAGTTGAAATAAAATCATTTGACTTTTTTCCAATTAAAGTTTTCATTGAGATTGACATAGTCCCATGAAATATTTTGATTTTGACAAAAATGCATTTTTCAATATTTTTCTAACAGCTCAATCTCTACTTGATCAACAATTTTCTGTTCTTTTCTCACTGCTTGTTTCCATACTTTTTTTATTTTCACTTCCAATTTACTTCTCTTTTAACCCTACCCTTAAGCCCTTCTGTTAGCTGTAGGAAACACCACCATAATGATGAATTCAGTGCTACAGTAGAGCTTTGGGGCATGGTACTCAGATGGTTCATATTATTGCAGCTCTATGGAGCTACCATAGTTGACAGTAGTGAGGTAACTGGCCTTCATTTTTAATGACCTATTATTTATGTAACAATGGCAGGGTCATTTGACACACATATATCTCTGACATAGATCATAATGAAGTTTCATTTCATATTGCTACATTGCCATGATACATTATTTGTCAGATACAAAGCCCATTTGAATCAATGAGATCTTTTTCATTTACTTAAATGACTTGTATCAATGCCTAATTAAGAGTAGAAATTGAAGGAAAAGGTGGATTATTTTTGCTTCCTATATACTGATATTTAAGAATACATGTGGAAAAAAAACTTGTCAGACATGAGGCTCTGATATTCTGGGGCATGGAAGATGAATGGCTCCTATACTATTAGCTGATTGAGATGTTTTCAGTTGTTTGCAGCTATGAAAATGGAATGTATCAGGTAAGAGAAGAAAGTTTCTTTGTAAATATTTTGCCAATGTGCTTATATGTTTTATATTTGCACATATTTTGTGTCTATGACTTAGAATCTAAAATCCCATTTGTTTCCTCCATAGAAGCTTGAGAGTTCACCTTAAAATTATTAATGTATTTCAAAGTGATGCTTAACAGGTCGCTTGCACCTATCATGAATTGACAGCAAGTGTGAAACATCGGGACAGAAGGTGGGGTAAAAAAGGCGCCTATATCATACGTAGCCTAAAATATTTGGACTGTCCCTATGCAATCAAGATATCTATTCATCTTATTTGTACTATCCAATGACAGCATTACTATACTTTCTAACAGATCACTTGAATAATTCAATACAAATAACATTTGTCCTGAAATCTGCTAATGATTACTGTCCATTTATTTCATGAATATGTTCCTTAATTAGGTTTCTGTAAAAACCATAATACTAAGCCATGCATCTGGAGAAGTGATTTTTACCTTTGAAAGCTTATGCCCAAATAAATCTGTTGGTCTTTAAGGTGCCACCAGACTCCTTGTTGACTAAACCTAAGCACCACTTAAGTCCTATTTAAGAGCTCAAGTGGGACGGAAGTGGTACCTGGCCCTGTGCTGTATCTCTGCACAGGGATGAATGTCATCTGTACAGATATTCAAACACTACTCTGCAAACATTCATGGTACATTTTGTCATTTTCCATCACTGAATTATTAGCTGTGAATTTCCCTTATGCCTCTCTCATGATCTGTTCCACAACTTTTTTACTTTCCCACAGTAGGTCTAAGGCATCTATCATCTCTCTATTAAGTGAATACTCTCTTTGCAGCTTTGCAGATTCAACTGTCTTTTCTTTAAAAGAAATACATTCTCATACACATCTTCTGCTGCCAGCTTAGTCACTATGAATGCAAGTGTGATAGCCTACCCTAGCAAGCATACAAGCATCAACAGCCTGCAGTGTTTCAACTCTGTCCTCCCAGAAAGGGTGGGGCCTCAGGTAGAAAGGGTGAAGCCCTGTAAAGTCAACACTCTGTACCACCTGGAGTGCACCACATTAAGGGTACGTCTAGACTACACACCACCTGGAGTGCACCACACTAAGGGTACGTCTAGACTACATGCCTCTGGCAACAGAGGCATGTAGATTAGGCTACCGGGCATAGGAAAATGAAGCGTCGATTTAAATAATCGCTGCTTAATTTAAATTTACATGGCTGCCATGCTGTGCCGATCAGCTGTTTGTCGGCTCAGCACGGTAGTCTGGACGCGCGGGGGTCGACATCAAAGGCATTTGTCGACCTCCCAGGTATTCCTCCTGGGATGAGCAATGATTTAAAGGGTCCAGGGCTCGGGAGACTGCTGCTACTGCAATAGCAGTGGCAGGAGCTGGGAGCCCCAGGCCCCTTTGAATCTCTCAGCCTGGGGGTAACAGCCCCCTTTAGTCCCCTACCTACTTTGGATTCATCAGTCTACTATTGCCCTTTGCTCTGCTGAGACAGCATGAAGTGGCTGTATTCTCACTGTGGCAGGCCAGCAATGAATGTCTTTTGTATGAATGAACTTTACACTAATATAAAACTGGTGGAAGTTAGTTTCCCCACCATGACCTCCATGCCTATGTCTACACTCGTGGCTTCTTGCTCAAGAAATATGCAAATGAGGCTAAGCATGGAACATCACCGAGCCTCATTTGCATACCTAATGAGCCACCATTTTTGCAGAAAAGTCTCTTGCGCCAGAAGGCGCTGTCTACACTGCCCCTTCTTGCACAAGAAAAACCCTCTTGTGCAATGCTGTTACTCTGATTATTTTCAGGAGTAACAGCATTGCTCAAGAGGGTTTTTCTTGCATAAGAAGGGGCAGTGTAGACAACTCCTTCTGGTACATGAGCTTTTTCTGCAAAAATAGTGGCTCATTAGGCATTCAAATGAGGCTCGGTGATATTCTACGCTTAGCGTCATTTGCATATTTTTCATGCAAGAAGCCGCGAGTGTAGACATAGCCCAACAGTGCAGACAGTGGGAGGAGACCCCACTCTGGAGACAGGGAGAAATGAAAAGGGAACATTGCAGAGAACAGCTCCTCTATTCCCAATTCTCTACTGGCATGAGGGGTGCCTGAGGGGCCCTATTCTAACAGTGTAGGTCTGAGCTCCTCCTCAATAACATCTATACATTATACTGGGGCTGGGAATTGCTGGGACTTGCAACAAAATCAAGGAGTGCTCAAACACAACTGAAAATCTGGCTGCTTAAATTGTTATATTTAGGGACCTTAGACATAGGTAAAATTCCAATTGTTATTGCCTATGATAAGTGTTATGCTAACACATCCCTACAATTGTTCTATTTCCAGACAACATTGGAATCCAGGAACATTCAAATACTTTTTATGAAGAATTTAGTTTAGCTTTGCCAATAATGCTGCAAAATAGGTATGACAATGTAAATTTGGTCTACTACTAAGGTCTTTCCCCCGATTTTATAAATAGATGGCAGGGAAAGCTCACTTCGACCTATAGTTTATATATTGCACTACATTGGGGGGGGTCCGATTCACATATCTCAGGGAAGAGAATTAAGACATTACTTTTCACATCTCTACTTTAGTCACTAGAGCAAATTGTTTTACTTTTGAACAAAATGTCTTATAGATGTGACATATTGAGACGTCTCTTAGCAAGATTTTTTATGAATATTTTTTTCAATATTGACCAAGCATTTAATACACTTGCATTTAATACTCTGAATTCAGGTTCTACGTTAATCAGAATATTTCATATCTGAGGTTCACTTTCCAAAGCACAGTATAGAAAATAAAAACTTAAATATGCAGGTAATTAACATGTCCCGAGTTTCAGTCTTTAATGACTGTTTTTGTGTCAAGTACACAGCTAAGGGCAAAGAAACAAAACATTCTGTCCTGTCATATCATACTATGAAATATTGCTTGAAAAGAAAAGAAAAGTCCTAAAGACTATAGATGTAATGAAACTATTCAATAAATAATGAAAAGAAGTGAATGGAAAATATCAGTATAGTTCTTTATAGCTTATAGTATGTATTATTATAGTAGGAGATTAAACTTCAGCTCCCTGTTTGTTCTCATCACAGACGATATTAACTACTGAAGTAACAGAACATTTTCTTTTTTGTTTTGCTGTTTGTAAGATTAACCCAAGAAAAGTGGTAGAAGTGCATTGACTGCTATGATATATTGTAGCTAATTTTGACACTATATGTATGCAGTGTTGCTTATCTGTGCAAAAGTCTGTTACAGCTATGTCTCAGTGTTCCTTCTCTAAGCACCTTGTTTTCCCATTGTTTCTGGGTTGTGAGCAAATCAGTGAAAGTAAGCAGGTCATTTGGTCTTACACACAACTCAACATTGCTCCCATCCAGGGTAAACAACATTCCAAAGTCAAAATAAATATCACACATTTATACATACTAAAAATGCCATTTCCAACCATTTCATTTCGTAAGGGTCTGTCTGACTTCTGCCCTTTACAAGTCTAACAATATTTCTTAAGACCACTTCTTCTTTTTCAAATCCTTACTTTTCATTGTAAGGGTTTTTTTTTTGTTTGTTTTTGTTTTTGTTGTTAAACATAGCAACAGGAAGTAGTGTCACAGGGGATCCTGGACATTCCCTCTACACCGAGGTCCATGCTTAAGGCCCTCTGCTATAGACAGAAGTCGACTCTCAATTTTCAAACTTGCCTACTTTTTTGCTTCTTTCTATGTCTATCTTGCTTAGGACCCTCTCTCTAGTCTCTTTCCTGCATTTTCCATCATAATCTTTTATGAGTTCTGTTCTCAGCTCCTATTAAATAAAAATGACACATCATTTTGAAATGGTTGTCAACAAGCTGCAACTGCTGCTTTCATACCTTTCCCTAGACTTCTCACTATTTTGTACCACAGGTGGCTCTTTATAGACTGGTCCACTTTCACAACAAGCCTCATGTCCATCCTGAAGTCACATGACCCTGAAGGGACCATAATTCCCCAAAGAACTGATTTTTTAAGGGTCAGAACATGAAGGTGGACTTCACTGGCCCAGTTCAACTCTTAAAAGGATGTCCTGTGTTGAGACAGCAAGGCCTGGTATTATACTTCTGAACTTTTACATACAGGCAGTCCCTGGGTTACATGGATCTGACTTACATCGGATCCCTACTTACAAATGGGGTGAGGCAACCCTGCACTAGCTGCTTCCCTCCAGCAGACCAGGGAGACGCGGAGCGGCTTTTCTCAGCAGACACCTCAGCTTGAGAATAAAGGACTGAGGGAAGTGAGGTGTGGGAGAATAAAACTGAGCTCTGGAGAAATGTTTGGCTAGAGTTTCCCCTACAATATGTACCAGTTCCGACTTACATACAAATTCAACTTAAGAACAAACCTACAGTCCCTATCTTGTACATAACCCGGGGACTGCCTGTATATATATTTTTTAAATCTAGTGGCTCCTGATGTTCTTACCAACACAAAATTATGCTTGGAGTCAACAGGAGTTTTGGCTGAATAAGACACGAGTGGAAAAAAAACCAAGTAAACATCTCAGATTTGTTCCTTTATAAATAAACTAGCCAATTAGCCCGCTATAAGACAGGATTTTCAGGTCTCTCCTCCACGTCGGTCTTCTCTTCTGAGTCTCCAGTCTTTCACTCCGTCTCTCTCTCTCTCTCTCTCTCTCTCTCTCCTCCTCCTACTGACTCACCCTCTCACTCAGCTCTCCTCCACCTTCTGCCTCCCCCTCCATCTTTCTCTTTCTCTTTTCCCCCTCCTGCCTCTCACTCTGCCTTTCTTTACTCCTCCTCCTCCTCCTCCTGCCTCTCACTCTCTCTTTGCTCTCCTCTGTCTCCATTGGGAATGCATGCTCATGCAGGCCCCACCCCCTGGGCGTGTATGTCATCGCCCCACCCCCCTTTGCCTCCCGCCATGACGCTCGGCTGACTTCTGCGCCCCTCAGCCAGGCTCCCCGCC